TGTTATTCTTTGAACTATGTTTGATTATAGAAATATCAATTTTTAAAACCTTATTTTGATATTGAATCTATTATAAAATATTGTGCTAGTCTTTTACAGCAGCTCCGCAGCAGGAAATGCACCCAAACAGAGAAAAATAAGGAAAAGAAACAAGGTTTCCACTAGTAGATGCAAGAAAACAAAGAAAGATACAACGTCCTTCAATTCGAGAGGAAGAACAACTCTCCACAAGTCTCTAGCAAACCCTAGAGCCCAAGCACACAATGAGATCTCAAACTTTTCATTCAAATTCAAGATGAGGACCTAATTCCCCCCTTTCCCCCTCTTTAACTCTCATCCCCATACAAAATCCCTAAACAGCCCTTCTATTCAAATTTCCCCCCTTTCCATTCAAATTTTCCCTCCAACCCTTGAATTAACTCCATGTGGGGCCCGCCTAGAGTAAGGACCGGAGGGGCTCGCCTAACACTTCTCTATAAGATGAAGATGTATAGAGTTCACTAATATAAGCCTAGGATCAAATGTGCAAAATACACATTAAAGTTTATATGCTGCAGTTTCTCAGCTCTTAGTCTAGGCTAAGGTTAATCTCTTTTGATGTAAAAACAATAAACACATTCAATTTACTACACACTATAATTTGAAGTCATCAAAATTTAAAAAATTTCAAGAAATCTAAAAACGAATAAAAACTATGCAGTGACCAGAGATTCACACCGTAAAAAGGAAATGTTACATGCAACAAATTTGGCTAAATATCAAGCATATCACAAAATATTTATATTAAAAGAACAATAATATAAGTCACTAATTAGAACATTCTATTATATAGTAGAACATAGATATAAATGTGTGTGGGCTCCGAAAATTCGGCCTCGGTCGTGCAAGACAAGTCGCAGACGTGCGACGACGTGCGGGCAGAGTAGTTAATTGATTTTTTTTTTTTTTTTTACAGAGAAGGGTCAACAATGTGGATCATATTTTCTTTTTTTTTTTGGTGATATGTGATAACATGATGGTATCATAACCAGCTATGTTTTATGAACCTGATTGATGAGTAATAAAGAATTCTCTAGACGAACTGAGTTTGATTGATTTATTATGATGAAGGTATGGTATGACTAATATATTACAAATGTAAGTGTCTGTATTAAAGCAATTATGGAAGTGGTACTTATAAAAATAATGTGTTAGAAAATAAATTTAGGTGGCTTGGGAAATATAAAGGCGAGAAGAAGATGAAGTAATAAGACCTGAGATAGAATGATAGAATGTGTAGTACAAGAATTTGGTTTTAGATTATTTTAGTATATTTTAATATATTTTTCAATTTTATTAAGAATTTTGAATTTATTAGATTTATTTTGAATTAATTTAGAATGAATGACCTTTTTGAATAATCTTATGTTTGAATTTAATTTATTTAGGATTATTTTGATTTTGGGTAGGAATATATTTGATTTCAAATTATTGGGTCTTACATTTATAATCTTAAGTTGCAGTACATGCACTAATCAAGCTATATTATCTGACAAAAGCCCAATCGGCCATAGACTAATTACAAGTAGTCAAATTAGGCCATAATAGAATTGGATCGAATGTGTTTTCAAGTTTTCTTAGACCCACTTCTATTTATGGTAGAATTTCTCTAATTTTTAATTTGAATTTATTTTATTAGGTTTTTTATCTTTTTTGGGAGAATATTAGGTTCAAATTGGATGTTTGCTTTCAAATATTTGTTTCTCCTTTTAACCCAATTTTTTTTTTAAATAGGGACCCATTATTTGTAATTAAATTATAGATTTATAGTCATGATAAAGTACATATTTCCTAGCCTAGATTGGATGATATGCTTGGCATAATATTTCAGTTATTATACTTTTTCAAAAATTGATTTGCAATTAGTACCATCAAATATGGATTTTTCTCATGAATGAATGGAAAATAACATTCATGACCACTGATATATTATATGAGTGGTCAATATGCCTTTTGTATCTAATGCACCCAATGCCTTAATAAGATTGATGCATCCAATGCTTCCTCTATTCATTAGCAAGTTTTTAACCTATACTTAGATAACATTAATTTACAGTTCAATCAAGATTGAGCATCTTGATCACTTTAGTCAATCAATTTAATGGATGATAAGGTTAGTTTAATCTTAAAATGTTCATATTTTTGCAAAAAAAGTCATAGTTTTGGCTCTGCGGTATCTTCTCATAGTTTTGAATCAAATACTTCAAAAATCAAGACAATCCTTTGATTGGTCGACCCTTACTTCTATCTTTGATATTGGGGGTTTTCATAGGTTAGCTGCATTCTATAGATTGTTCATTAAGGAATTTCAATGCCATCATGATCCCTTTTTCTGATATGAAGGGATATTGCTTTGATTGTTGGTTAGTTTAGCCCATGTCAAATGGGCGAAATTGTTAAATAATGTATTGACGTATACACTTCTTTTTATATTGCTCCAACTCCATGGGTTAATTTTTATATAGATTTTGTACTAGGATTGCTTAGAACTGTTCTAACATGATATCACACTCATGATAGTAGATGGACTTTTTGCATGACTTAGTTTATTGTATGTTCAAAGACTACTGATGCATCTTATAAAGCAAAAATTTTATTTGAGGAAATAGTTATGCTACATGGGTTACCCTTATGAATTGTTATGTACTATGTTTACATTCACATCAACCTTTCACCCTCAAGCTAAAGTCATATTGAGGCAGCATCTAAGAAATCTATTAAGATGTTTGATTGGAAAAAATCTAGGCAATTGAGATTCACATATTCCTACTATTGAAATTGCATATAATAGCAAATATCCTTTTTGTCTTTCACATGCTCTTTCTATATCCTTTTCCCGTGATCTCAATCACCTGCTGCTAGGCATACGGCCTCTGTGTAGGTGCTTCTTCCTTTATCGAATTGATTTGCTTCAGTGTGACATTTATATTCCTGTAATGTTTGTTTGTGCAATTAAACTTGCTAATGGTATGGTATGTAGCTCCGTTCTGTGAACACTTGGGATAAATTGCGAAGAAAAAGTAATTTGTTTAGCAAACCTGTTAATCTTAGTAGCTCTGCCATGATTTATTCGAGATCTATGGCTTCATTTGGCGCGGCTATCTTACTGCTTCATAAAGCAGTTTTTTAGTAAAAAATAAATTTTTATACTAAAAAGTTGCTTTAAGAAGCAGAAAAAAGTCGTCCCAAGCAAAGCCTATAACAACTTGATTAACACATCCAACGCACATTGATCAGTGCTCTCTCTCTCTCTCTCTCTCTCTCTTTTTCTTTTTTCTTTTGAAAAGTCTTGCTCACTCACATGTAAATCTTATAAGTTACTCAATACTCTGGATGCAGGGAAGGAAATTTACCTGTTACTTTTCTCCAAAAGTACCTTGTAAAGAAGCTTAATCTTGCAAGTGAGGCTGAGGTGAGCTAACTTTTTTTTTTTTTTGTACATAAAACTTCTTAGTTCATTCCTTATCTGACTTCTTAAATAGTTGATGTCTTAAACCTAAAAAATCACATACTAACTTTTACAGTTATTTTTTTAATGATTAATGAAACTGTGAATATTTTTATGTTACATAACTTCATTCTAAATATGAATATGTTGTTTGGTTTGTCTCACCTTCATTTCGGGAATATTTTACTGTAGTGTAAGAGGAGAACAAAGGTGAGATCATTTTTCCTTTAAGTTCTATAATTGGATTATTCATCTCAACTAAGAAAAGAAGTTGTGCAACAATGCACTGAATCCCCTATGCTATTGTTTTTCATGTTTGACTATCCCTGCTTTACCATGGCGCCTAGCTGGACGTTAGGGTACATCTTTCTCAATCTGATCTTGTTCTATTATTAATGTGAGCTACACAATAACCAACGATGGGACATTTATCTTACTAATTTATGATCCAATTCCATCAACTCAAGTACTCAACAATGTAACCCACCTTTGTGACTGCTTACCCATAAGAGAGCTGGAAAATCGGCATTTAATAGCACTTCTGCTTCAATACAATAAGCTATTGGTTTGGTCTGTAACCCACCTTTATGACTGCTTCATACCATGTTTTATGCTGTCAATCTCTCATTTTTTATATTAGTTTGGCGAATATTGAGGAAAAAAAGAATACTATTCATCTTTTTTTTGCTCCTTGCTGTTTAAAAATAGACCTGAACAGGGGATGCCTCTCCATTTTGAACTATCAGTTTTAGACAAGATTTTTGGAGAAAAGAATAGAAAGAAAGACTACGAGTTAAACTTAGCAGGTCATGGCTATTTTGTTCTCTTCAAGGCCAGCCTTTAGTAGATTTCCCACAATTTGTACAATCTGCTCCACATTTAGTTGGGAGTTAGATATATACCAGATTTGAGAATGAATCTTATGTCCTCTCAAGTGCTCTCAAAATTGTAGAATATAGGTTCTCTAGTAATAGTAAGGATGCTTTGGCTATCTTGTAGACAAATAGAGTTGGACTCTATAGTTGCGTAGTGCGATATCGAATTTTGGGGTGTCGGATTTAACTACTTTCAACTTTGGTGAAACATCACAATTTGGGGAAACAAAAAAATAGATTTTGCTTTTAGAGTGTAGGAAAAAATCTAGAATAAATAAAGGCATAAGTTGAGGAAGAGATTTTTGGAAATGATTAGGAGGAACCAATTTTAGTTGCATAATTTGTTTAGTGATAGATCATAACATTGCAACATTCAAGACAAGGAGATGGCTACTTCAAGGCTATGCAAATTTAGGCTTTGTTTGGAACAGCTTTCTTACTGCTTCTTAAAACAGCTTTCAAATGTAAAAATTAAAATTTTTGTACTAGAAAGCTACTTGAAGAAGTAGTAAGAAAGCTGCCCCAAACAAAAGCTTAGTGATATATTATTATATCATGATCATGTTAAATGGTACTAGAATTATGTTCTTATATACTACCTAGGTATCTCGTAGGTACTCAACCTATGCAACGTTTAAGTGATGAGATTGCATGGTGTTGAGCACTTTGGGGCTTTGGGAGCTTAAAGTGCTCGACTTTGAGTGAAATCATGGATGAGATTCAAGTCTTGCCATATTATTGAGTTAATGGGGAGATTGGTTAGTTATTGACTCCATATCATACATCAATCATATGGTGAGGTAAGTTTCAAGCTTTTTCTGTAAAAGAAATTGAAAATAAGTAGGGTGATTTGTTAGTTTGTTAATTCAGTATTCACGCATGAATCACATGGTGATATAGGTTTCAAGCTTCTTTCATGAAAATTTTATAAATCGGTGTGTTTTGTTATTTATTTATATAATATCCATACATGAATTATATAATGAGGTAGATACCAAGATTTTGCATTTTAAGTTTGAAAATGGTTAAGATGATTTGGCATAAGTTTGTTACTTTTAGATTGAGTTGGTGGCTTTGTAAATTGATGTATGGAATCTTAAATGTCATGGAAGTATCATTCAATTTTGATTTTTTTCTCCTAAAGGTATTGAGAAGAAATTGGGAAGAGAGAGAAGATGGGAGGTAAAAAAAAATAGAAATCACAACTGTGGTTTCTTGGTAACTGTCATAAAAAATACTAGCCCAAATGGGCTGTCAAAAACGGGTCACGGGTCGGGTTCGGGTCCAACTCGAAATTGACACGACACTGTTCAACCCGACCCGTTTTTACAAACAGGTCGGTTTTTCGAACCCGAACCAGACCCGCTTCGGGTCCGGGTCAACCCGAACCCGACCCGTTTCGAGTATATTTTATTAATTTTTTTTATTTAATTCAATTTATTTAAATCTAAATCAAATTAAGGTAAGATTTACTTCAATTAATTTAAAATAAATCAAGATTAATTTAATTTGGGTAACAATGTTTATCATTTTTTGAAATATCATTTACTTATTTCATAAAAATCCTTTAAAATCCTCCTAAATTAATTAAAAACGGGTCAAATCGGGTCGATTTCGGGTTTTCGGGTCAACCCGAACCCGACCCGGTTTTAAAAACGGGTCGAAATCCCTAACACGAACCCGACCCGGTTCGGGTTCGATTTGACCCGAACTCGAAATTTTCGGGTCGGGTTCGAGTCGGGTTTTCGGGTCGGGTCAAATATTGACACCTCTAATCTGCCCAATCAAAAGCATAAACTCTGACACTTCATTTGGGCTGGCTTTATCGCTTCTTAAAACACTTTTTTTGTACAAAAATTAAACTAAAAAGTTGATTTAAGAAATATTAAGAAAGCCGTTCCAAACGAAATTAAAATTATTGAATTACATTTAAGATCAATGTACTGCATAAGTAATTAATCAAAATTTATATTCAACTAATCTCAAAATAAATCCTATGAAGTATAGATCCCAAAATTTTTCCACGTAAACTTCCTAAATATTAATATCTCATATGCAGTTTTATGAAACCTATAATTGCAGGTGGAAATAGCATGCAGAGGTCAGCCAGTGAATCCTGCATTGTCACTGCAGGACCTTACAGATCAATGGCTTAGCCAAGGACCATCACAAAGAATTCAGGCTTCAGTTGGCACTTCAGCTAAGGAATTTGTAATGGTACTGACCTATAGCCAGAAGCCTATGCCACCCTAAGCCTTTTCTAATTTATTGATCATTTTTTAATTTTTTTATAGGCAAAAGGTTAGCCTTTCAGGAGATTTTCATTAGGGATTTTCTAAATTACCCTATTTTTTTCACCCTTTAATTAATGGCTGAATTCAGCTTGATGGAGTAGGTCACAAGTAGGAGAAATTATTCTATGCGGACACCGGATTGTCCGGAGGCCAATCAGAACGCACCACATCATCCAGTACACAGGCCGGTGCACGGCAAACGGGTGATGTAGCGCATTCTGATTCGCCTCCAGATGACGTTCGTATCCGCACAGAATAACTTCACCACAAGTAGGGCTCACCTACATATTTATAGATTTGCTAATGTGTTCTATTCGACCGAGTCGAATTCTAGCCCAAGAAACACATTCTTCTTTGATTTTTTTTTTTTTTTTCATAATTTCATTTACTAGGATGGATTTCATACAATTATTATTAGTTTTTGAAGAACTAAAGCTTATGTGATTAAAGACCTGAGCACTGGTGGCTTCCTGTATAAATTTATAATGCTTCAACATTGGAACTCTTATTATCCCACCACTGTATGTGAACGCTCATATGTATTCATATTTCATAATTTAGTGAAATATGCTGATATTGATCAATTCTGTAACCATGATTTCTTCTTCTTTTTCTTTAATACAAACTGTTATTATCTATGAAAAGCATAAAAGAACTATAAAATAATGCACTTATGACTGAGCCCATTGATGAAATGAGCTCCAGCTGAGTTGTCTGACTCTCACTAAATGAACAAAATATTTAAATGTTATCTCAAAAATAATTTAACAATTATAAATATTCTTGCTCAGAATTCTTGCATCATAATTAACACAAATGATTTTGCAAATCTAAAAAAAATTGGTGCTTAACAGCTCAAACATGTAAACACCCAATATATTACAAAGCAAATAAATTGTTCCAGACAGATAGATCATGTTAGCATCATTGCAATACAACCAGGAAAACCTAAGCATCCAATTGTTTCATAATTTACCACTTTTCATCACTCTCTTGAAATTTTCTGAAATTTATAATATAAAGTTTTCATAAGAAAATTTCTATGTACGATTAATCTTCTTCCAAGTTAATGGAATCCTTAAATTTTCCATAAAGAACTTTCTTCAGATGAGCCATTTGAGCAAGAACTGATTCCTTTTCTTCTTCAAGCTTCTCCAGTTCTTTGCTGGAATTTTGTTTCATAATCTCCAGCTTGCTCTCTACTTGTTCCCTTGGCATGTGGGCAAAAATCTCCCCAATTTGGAACCTCACAATATCCTCATCTGAAAGGATGAGTTCATTGCTGGCATCCTCCAAGCTCTCATTATTTTCCTGAAAATAAGAGCCATCAACTTTGCTCAGTCAAAGGGCGTAGAAATTTGGGAATAAAGATGTCCAAAAAGCTCATCGCTAAGAAGTTTGTAAGTCATTCTCTTATTCTTAGGGAGGATATTTTTGACTATTTTTATTAGTGCTTTGTTGAAGGCACTTGATTTATAAATTAATGAATACCACTAATCGATTTTATATAGATTGATGTATTTGTATCTTTATTGTTTTGAAAGTTGAGTCATTGTGTGAGATTATTCGACATTGCGCACTGATTATGTAAAGAATGTTATAGATGAAAAAGTTGATCATGTGCTCAAAGAAAACTTTGCTGAATCGGAGAGATTATTACGTGCGGAGTCCGAACACAAAGAACAGTCTGATTTTGCGACTGTGAACAGTAAAAGTGCAGTTACTGTTCACCCTTGTAATTTTACTGTTCACAACCACAAAACTAAACAGCTATCAGTATTCGGACTCCGCACATAATAATCTCTTCTTGAATGGAGCCACTTCATCCCATTTATAAATATAGTTAATTGCTACTTATATAAAGCGATATCTAGCTTATAATGTATGATTGATCGGTCCAATTACATTCGTACCTTAATATTCAGATGGTCAATATGCTACTGCAGGATACAATGGATTTGAAAATTGATGTAGGATGTCACAATGATTTTAACATTCATGGTGCTTAGCATTGTTGATGCAATATCTCACAATCGAAGATTAGTAATAATGGTTTTTTTTATTTTAGCTACCATTTGGTAATTGACGCCACAAAATCCACGAACTTCGGTTGCGATCTTATCACCCTCTTTGGTCCCCAAATATCTAAGTAAAATTTGAGCAAAAGATCTACAATAATGAGTATCATTGACAAATGCAAGGTTCTAAAAACAGACCACCATGAAATCGGATGAAGTAAAGGTTCACTATTCAATAGTTCAACCAGGTTGAATCGAATAAAAAAAATAAATATTACAATTATTCAAATATAATATAAATTACCAAATAGTTAAAATTTTAAAAGTTAATACACATAACCTTGGCCGAATTTTTGTTTTCACATCTAGGCTTTAGTTTATTTCCTAATTCTAGAGATGAGAATTAGGAAATAAGAGCTCTCTTCCTCTAAAAGCTGCAACCAGAAGTCTCAAGCCCGTAAGAGTGGATGGAAAATTTCTCCTGAGCTTTTCTCCTCAAGTGCAGGCTGAAATTTCTCAAAATATGTAACAGATTTTGCTCTCAGCTTTCTATTCCCAACCACTCAAATCTGAGAATTTTCTCTCAAATTTTTTTGGAAATCTGAGGCACGTTTCTCAGCCTTTCTCTTCTCTATTAAGGCTAGGCTTCTCCTTCAATCTTCTCTAGACCCTTATCTACTGGAACCTGGAATTCTTCCCAGGTTTTGAATAAAAACCTAAAGAAAATTTTCAGATTTTGTGAGACATTTGAAGTTTGTCCCTCTACCATATCAAAGCGTTTTTCCGTTCTACATCATCTTCATACTATTGATTTTCTTAAGTAATTTTTTGGCTCATCTTGTCGGTCTTTATAAATGATTTGTGATACAAGGTGAGGAACAACCAGAGTTGTATCGTGCCAGTCTAAATTTGATAAACCCTCTAGCATTCAACAAATGTGGATTCTAATCAATATAAGCTCACCGTTCATAATTGTCATTTCTTTAGCCAATTTAACTAGGAAATCTGTATTACTATTTTGAGCTCGGAAAACTCAAGCTAGTGTGACATCCTGAATTTGTTTCACAACCTCAAGAAATTGTTTATGATAATTGGCCAATTCAATCTTACTAATTTTATATATACCCAATACTTGATCTATAACAAACCGAGAAACAAAAAAAGAATTCAAAGGTTTTGAAACCCTAAACTAATTACAATATCGAGACCCACCACCAAAGTCTTATATTTAATCGCATTATTGGTTCAAGGCTCGATTATCGAATGAATACCTCATTATACCTTCATCAAGTGTTATAAAAATAAAACTAATGACAATTCGGGGCTTAAAAAGGTTTCGAGGTTGGGCGAACTTAATTAATGATGCTCTATTAAAATACATCTCTCAGGTCAATTGTTTTTCTTTTTCTTGAATAAGCAGAATCTGCTCATTAGGCAGATCGCCATTGAGCATTGAATTTGTAGAAACCGGATATACAGCGGGAACATTTGCTATGATTTTCCCTTTTTATTGATTTTTAAGGAACATAAGCGATGTCAAATTACACGAGGATGATTGCCTATCTAGTGAGATGATCGATCCTGCTAGCTTATCATCAAGAATTGCAGTGGACCGACTTTTGAAATTAAGGCGACTTTGTGGGAGCAAAAATAGATGCCAAGTAATACTTCTCAATTGAAGAAGATTGTACTTGCGCTTCTAGTAATATTTAGCTCATGAAATAGACAACATTCTCCTTGCCTTCCTCATTATATTGCACCAACAATGATGCTCTGAGGAACTCTTTTGCAAAATAAGGCTCTTTCCCGAGATCAACCGTGCAAGTATGGGCTTAACAAAACTTTTTTGAAGTTGTTGAAGGCTTCCTATCAGTCTTTGTATCATTTGAAATGAGCATTCTTTTTCATCAAGTTTCCAAATGGTTTATGCCTACATGATAGATTTGACATACAACTTCAAAAGAATATAGGCTACATTCAAAAAGAGCGAAGTTGGCAAATAATTTTTGGTTGTGGCATTTTACCGATCGCTTCAATTGGTTAGGATCAATCTCAATTCCTATATAACAATGTATAGAAGAAATTTTTCTAAGAAAACCCCAAAAACACACTTAAGGAGGTTCATTTTAAGATCAAATTTTCTAGTCCTCTCAAATACGATTCTTAAGTCATCAAGATGATCTTTTTAATATATGCTTTGATGAATAGACAACCTTTTGAAGAATCGACTTATCAAAGATACATGTCATAACCCTTTGATAGGTAGCCTGAGCATTCTTCAAACTGAAGAACATGACCGTATAATAGAATATGTCGATAGGCATCCTGAATGACATGTGCATTTCATCCTCAAGAGCCATTGATTTGATTATAATCTAACTATATATCTATAAATGATAACATTTCATAGTTGGAAGCATTATCAATTAGGAGTTCTCATACAATAGCGGAAAGTTGTCTTTCGAGCATGTCTTATTGAGATCTTCGAAGTTAATGCAAATGTGAATTTAACGATTCTTTTTCTTTGCGGTAAGAATATTTGCAATCCAATCAACATATTTTTCCTTGGACGAAAACATCATATGAGCTTTATTATTTTTGTCATCACATGTTCTTCTATTTCTAGCCTTATTTGGCTTAGAGCTTATTTAACAAGTAATGAATATAATTTGATAGTTAATATTTGAACTGCCACTTCAAGGGATAAGGCATGCATCTTAGCATATGTTAAGAAAAAATAGTCCCTGAATTCACAGAGTAAAACACTTTCCCACTATTGCATAACATACATTTTTATAAGGACATTTAGCTATAAAATTTTTGAGGCCTTTTGTAGTATTATTATCGTTTCTTTATGAAGCATGTGGACTCTTTTGATTTCATCATTTAATTATCCTGACATGAACTCCTTATTTAAGCATCATTTTTTGAATTATTGTGAGGTACCTTAGCATTCTTGTAGGCATTACCTCTCCAACCTTAAGACATTGGAGGAACCAATCAAATATCTCATCACGGTATCCCTGGATTTATATAATTAACTTCTTAGTCCACTCCTTTCAGATAAAGGAGCAACATAAAATATATTTAGCTCTTTAGCATTATGAACCTCACAAGGAATAATCTCTCTAGAATGTTATGGAGGGAGAGGTATAATAACTATGAAAATATATTTTGAAATCTACAAGCCATTCATTATCCTTGAAATAATACATCGTACCAGGCTTGCATAAGTAAAATCACAATCATAGACGGAATATGATTTTTTTTTGCTTTCATCTTTCTTTTAGCCAAGGGTTTGCACATTTCTTTGAGTGTGACTAGGATGTCATCATCTTCTTTCATATCACTTCCTAAGTAAGGAATGACTCTCTTTGGCTTGGATGAGTTGCTGATTGTTTTAGGAATAACCGGTATTGACTTCTTACTTGCTTCTTCCAACCTCTTTTTTGAATTGCTTTGTAGTCTTGAAGATTAATGCCATGTCTTCAAAAGGTTTTGTTAATTATAGCTTATTCGAAAACAAATATTTCACATTACGTAAATTCACATAATGGACTGCAAAGAATTTTATATCACTGAAATTGAACTCTGCTCCATCTCCTAAGTGCTTCATACATTAGTTCAGAGTTGTCAAAAAATATCATATTCATGGAGCTACGATTAACCAAAGAGTGCCTTGAATAAAGTGTTTACATCGACCACATGAAATTTGGCTTCCATATAAAACTTTTCAAATCTGAGAGGGATAATGAATGATCCCATAATTTTCTCTCTTTCATTAAAGCCATACACCATATGTTCATCTTACCCGAGATGTTGAACATTAAGGGACAATGATCTTAATGCTCACAAGCTCATGATATTTATTGAGAAATTGGAATCGATTAAGATTCGACATAATATCATCACTTTCTATTGTGACATACAAAAGCAATTATGTTCTATTATCCCAAGAATAAGATTTTCTTTGGAGAATATGATGACCAACCCATTCTAAGCTCGTGGAATCTTAGGCAAGCATTTTTTATCGAAATATGATTTGTAAATCTCCAAATCTTTGAGAGCTTGAATCAAAGTCTTATGGATGTCCTTTGGCATTAAGGGAGATTCATATAGATTGAGTTGTGCTAGGATCTTCCTTAGAGGAGATAGGATAAAATATTCATCTATTTAAAGTGGATTTCTTCTAGTGATATTTGGGGATGATTTCTTTGTTGATGGCTATATCCTTCTCGTTATGTTTGCTTGATGATCCCTTCTTTGGTCGAAGTGGCATTACTTTATCACTCCTAAGTTGTGCTTGAATCGCTTCATTTGAAACAAATTCATCCGATGAAGCAATTTCGTCAAAGTCAACCATCATCGATTCATAAGGTTTAACAAAGGGTTCAAAGTTGATATCCAACCTCATGCACTTCATTTGCAAGGCCATCTCGGGATCTGACTCATTCCCCCAGGGAAGCCTGAATTTTTTTCTAAGTTGTCCATTTTTAATACCATCAGCCCAAACTCAAATGTTACTTCCTCAAAATGCCCTTCTTTTACTGATATAGCACCTTTGATTCATCTCCATAGATCATTTTTTATGAAGCCAATGCCACTTGACTCCTGTTGAGAGTTTTAGGATGAGCTCATTGAATTAGAGATCAATTGGAGATTCAAGTCCAAGAAGAGGATGAAAAAGAAGAGACCATAGAGATCAAGGCAATCCATATGATTGATACATACGAGCATCGCTACAAGCCTTGCTCCTCCCCTCTCATTAACCAATAAGCAGCAAGTAGTTCTCGCGCCAACCTGCCAATCAACCCAACACTTAAAGCTTTTGGAGTGCGGAGTGCTCTTGAAGGGAGAAATGAAACAAGCCTGATAGTGCTCTAGCCATAGGCTGCTTATAAATACTTTTTTTTTTCTCTAAAAGGGAAGATTTTTTTTATTTTAGTTCAATTTCAAGAAATCTGAAAAAGGAGAGAGAATTCCCATCCTTGGAGTGGACTTCCCCTAAATCTTGAGAGGAGAGAGACAGAAGGTGTGTAGCGGAGTTCCAAAATCATGCCCGTAGCCTCTTTTTGCAATTTCAACCGACTGTCTTGTGTACAAGACAACAAAATGTTGCCAATTACATAAAGCCAGCCCCCGATTCATCTCTAGCCCTCTGAGCTCAGATTCATCCAGTCACCAACGACCATATTTCCTGGCCTTCCCATCCATCCCTAGGTCTGTCCAAGAAAACATCCAACAATTGTCCTCTTGTCAATTTCTGACAAGACCTGCCTCTTCCCTAGGTGATGCCAACAACCAGGAAAGCATTCCAGGTATCAAGAACTCCAAGAAACATCTAAGCTGGATGCAGGGAGGTCATTTGGACTACACCAAGCCTAGACCGGGTCTCTGTTGTCTAATTTTCTCCTTCCTAATACCTTCTTTCTCCTTGAGCAGCTATCTACTGATTTGTTTTCTTTTCTCTGTTTCAAGAAACAGTACCAATCTCCTCTGGTTGTTTCCCTTTCTGTTTTTCCTTCCATAAATTAGGGATAGCTGTTTTTGGCTACAACAAGGGCTGCATGGCAGCAGGCCAAGAAATTCATTAGGAAATTCCAGACCAACAATCAAATAGAATTTTTTTTAAAAAAAAATTCTATATCTCCTGATTTATTTGATGTTGTTTAGATTTCTTTTTAAATCTCTAGTTCTTTGTTTGATTTTAAAGAGTTTTAGTCATTGGTTATTAAGGTCTCATCACTCATGTTGGGTTTGGAAAATTCAATTGGAGGGTTGTTCTTTTTAATTTGTATGATTTTCTGAGCAATCTTGTTTCCCAACTATTTCCTCGGTGTCATTTGTTTATATAAGTATTCCCCTTTGAAAAATTTGGGCATGTAAAAGAATGAATTGATCTGAGCTATGGCCCGCTCTCTTCCCAATGAATATTGGAGTTGTGGGCACCTTCGATTTTCCCTTCTCTTCTTCTGGAGTTTTAGATGAATTCAAAATTGTCTGCTTATCCTGTAGCTTCTTCATTTTGCTAATAGGATTGTAACAACTACCTATAATACTTGGTTTCCCCAAAAGAACTTTAGCTCTCATGCATCATGCCTAAACTTAATTTCATAATAAATACCACCTAACTGCTGAAGCAGATTTCTCTTGTATTGTTACTAGTAATTTAGCAAGTTCTACATCGGAGCTCAGAGGGAAACCCTACTCCAGCAGCTAGGAAAGTGTACTATGCTATTCAAAGTGTTGTTTAATTAAATGTAAATAGGAACTTTGTCAATGTGCATGTAAGTGCCACTTCAGCTAATATTAGAAAATTTGTTATTTCCTATGAAAACAAAAGATGTCCATACTCATAATGTGCATGTTAAGTGCACTCTGTAATGATGAGGGGCCATTAATTAATCTTTACTTAAGTACGTTCCTCCGCAAATTTTCAACATATGATCATGCGAAAAAAAGCAAAACTTTGATGTTGCAGGGTCAGTCCAACCCTGTTGAAGCTACGGAATACACATAATGTTTACATTCATGATAAAATATTATCTGGCAGGATAATTTCTACCATGCTCTAATAACATAACACAGGACAATTATGGCTGAAGACATGTCTAGAAAATCATGTAATTTTGATGAAATTAACGTCATGGTGCAGTTCCCTGTGGTAAGGACAAGGTTAAGCTTAAATTTGCCTTCTAGTACATACAATTAAGCTAGCAATAAGAACCACATCAATCCTTTCCAAGAAAATCACATCCAGACATAGATGCCAATCTCATAGCACTATCCCAGAGTCGGCCTTACCAAATCAACAAAATCCTAGGAATAATATATTCTGAAAACATTTATAAACATAAATAGAGACCGACTACTTCAGGGTTGAGCAAACCATACCTTAGCGATTTTGATCTCGTCCTCGAGCTCGTGGAACCTATTATTCAGTCTGCCGAACTTGTTGATGTTCAGCTGATCTTCCCACGTCACTTCGACCTCCGATCCCGAACCCTTTTGCTTGAACCATTAAGAAATCGGGAATTCAACCATTCAGAAATCGATTCACAACAAGATCGACCGATAGGTTTAAGGGATCTAGTTTCCAGGGATTACCTGCTGCATTTTGGAATGTACTCTGAATCGCTTCGGTTCCGCTCTATTTCTTCGTCTACGTGGAAGCTATAGTCTGTACGAAGACAGCTTGAACGATGATTAGGAGAGTTGGATTACGGCTACGTCGGCCGGTTCAGAGAGAGGCTGCGGCTCTGAGATCGCCGGCGGCAGCGTCGGACGGGGGCGGTTGGCAAAACCTCGCGAAATGGCGAGGGTGACGAGGAGAGGAAGCGGAAGTGGCGGTGATGACTGGGGCAGTCGACAACGATTAGGTTAGGGAAATTTCGCTTTAAATACTCAAGAGAAAGCTTATTTGGATTGAATTTTTGTTTGGGACAAATTTCATAGTGGTTCTTAAATCAGTTTTTCAGCTGAAAAGTTGTTAAAAAATTTTTCTTGAAAAAAAATTTAAAAAAATTGTCTCAAATAAAGATTGAATCATTGAATTATCTTCAATGAGAATAACCTATTATCTTGTACTCTGAGGTTTCGTTTGGAAAGATTTTTTATTATTTTTTAAAATAAAAATTTTTGTATGAAAATTAAATAATTTTTATTTTACTAAAAATATGTTTTAAAGAGTAATAAAAAGTCGTCTCAAAAGAAGCCTAAGATTATTCAATAAAAAAATAGTTTCAATTAATTCAAATTAATTTGAATTTTAACTTGACTTGATCCTCATTTGGAATATTCTTCAAACCTTAATTCAATAGTCCATTCAAATTAGCTGAGTACATTTGAAATACATGACGGGATATGTGTTGAAGCCTTAAAGGCGGTAGATAAGTTTGATAAGAGAGGCCTCTAGTGTGGAAAATTATTATGTCAGGTCAAAAAATCGAAAATCCAAATGTATACGGAGCAATACCGAGTGCTAGGTATCGAGCTCTAGGTGATGTGGCACATGGTTATTGGCCTCTGGACTAGGAGTGTCAATTTCAGGTTGAACCCGGAAAAGACCTGGCACTATTCGGGTCAACCCGAACCCGACCCGTTTTTACAAACGGTTCGATTTACCGTACCCAAACCCGACCCGCTTCGGGTTCGTGTCAACCCGACCCGACCCGAGGACACGGCAAGGCTGGGAGCAGCTTCACGCCTTCACGGCATCGACGACAGTGACGTCCGACGGCAACGAGCCTTCAGCGCGGCAGCAGCGTCCGGTGGCATCGATGTCCGGCGTCCAGCGGCATCGATGTCCGGCGTCCAGCGGCAGCTGTCACGGACTCACGGTCATGGGGCGGGTTCAAATCAAGAGGCGGTCACGCGGCGAAGCGACCGTGGGCAATGGGCCTTCAGCGCGGCGAAGCGACCGCGGGCAGCGGTCACGACTCACTGACGCAAACGGCTGGCCTGATGGCTGACGTGATGGCATGCCTTATTGGGTCAAAAATGGGTTGATTTCGGGTTTCCGGGTCAACCCGAACCCGACCCGGTTCGGGTTCTGGTTGACCCGAACCCGAAATTTTCGGGTCAGGTCCGGGTCGGGTTTTCATGTCGTGTCAGATATTGACAGCCCTACTCTGGACGCGTTCGGTGTCCGGACATAATAATTACTCCTCTAGTGTTAGGCTTTTGATAAGACCAATGCATATATGTAGTTTGGTAGGAAAGACAGCATTGGACAGAAAACAAGGAGTTCGAATAAATTATTCTGTGAGGAGTCCGGGCGGGAAGAATCGTCTGGATTGCTGCGTATTTATTGAGCATTTATAAATACTCAATAAATATATAGTAAATCATCAAATGCTCAATAAATACTCACAAAATAATCAACGAATACTCACAAAATACTGAGCAAATATTCAGTAATACTTACAACTAAGCATTTATAAATACACAATAAATTCGATCAATTATCCTCATTTGGACTCCACGTGTTTGAGAAGAGAATTTTGTGATATGAACTTCCTGAAAATATGCTTCGAGAAGACTGACACAAATGACAAATTATTGCATCCGGTCACCTGACGCGGAGATAGGTCAAAATATTAATAAAATATTATTTTAAATTAAGCGCGTCAAAAGCGCAGTCAAAGTGCAGTCAAAAGCGCATGTGACGTGAAATGTTTTTATTGGACGTCTGAACCTATTCTTCGCGTTCGATGACCGGATGCAATAATTTGCCGACACAAATGGAGTTTATTAGGAAAGACATTGCAGGATGACGACATGTATTAGAGATGATAAGTTCCGGAGAAGAGCTCCTTAGTGAAAGACATTACAATTATTAACATGTTTAAATTATATATATATATATATCCACCAACCGCCGGCCATGGCTCCCTAGCCGCCGGCCTCATCCTTTCCCCTATTTCCTTGGATTTCCTAATTAGGGGTGCATGATATTAGGAATTAATTTGAAATTCAAATTGTTTAAAATTTGAAATTCAAATTTCTTTCCTAATTTAGTCCACCTATTTTAGGAAAGGAATTAATTTAAATCCATTTGAATTTCAAATTCAAATTGGATTTATTTCATTACTTCCCTAATTCCTAAATTCAAACCAATGAGCATTAATCCTCCACGTTAATTGCCCCTTGATTCATGCAAGCAGCTGGCCCCCTTGGACTTAAATTGAAATTTATTTCTAATTCCTATCCCTCCCCCTTTGGAAGTATTTCCTAACTCCCATGCCCTGGCCGAATTTTCCAAGCAGCTTTTGGAAATAAAAGAGCTGAATAAAAACTCTGAGCCGTAAGGAAATAAATTCCTGGATTTCCTCTCTCTCCCGTAATTGAAATTCCCTCATGCCTTTGTCTGTTTGATTAATTCCAATAGGAAAGTCTCTGTTTGGAAACAAATCAAGCCTATTTCCCCAATCTCAGGAACCGAATTTTACAAAAGCAAAAGCCTTAATTTACTTCCTAAAACCTGACTTCAGGATTAGGAAATAAATCCTTATTCCTCCCACCACCTCATACGGCCTGGCCCCTTGCTGAAATAATTTTTTAAAATCCAGATTTCATTGCTCCTCTCAATTAGGCTCTCCTCCAACAGAAATCTGAAACTTTTCAGATTTTCTTTGAGGGTTGGCTCTCATCTTTTTCACCAACTCAAGAGAATCTCCTTTCTCTTCCTTCATCTCAAGAGCCCTAAGCAAGACAAGGAAGAGAGTGTTTCCTAGCTCCCATGAATGGCGGGTTAGAATGATTCAATCCTCCTACCCGTTCTACATAAGATGCTCTCATAGTGGATTAATTATTCTGTGCGGATGCCGGATTCTGTCCGGAGACAAATCAGAGCACGCCACGTCACCTCCTTGTTGTGTACCTGATGTGTACCGGGTGATGTGGCGCGCTCTGATTCACCTCCAGACATAGAGCTACGTCCGGTGTTCGCACAGAATAATTTATCGTCATAGTGATTGTTAGTCCACATGAAGGCTTCTTTGTTTTTTTTGGATAGTTGAGGGCATCGAACGCGGATCACACAGGACAGAATTTTTCCGTCGACCAATGAGCCACTGCTCCATCCGCATGAAGGCTTCTAGAACATGAAATTCTTAATGTTCCTGACAGCAGTTCTCATCATAATCATGAAATCTATACAATCTATCATGCCTAGCATTGTATTTTCAGGCTTACCATTCCGTTAAGTATGCCAGTAGATTGTTAATTATTTCCAAATAACTTCCATTGTTTTATAATTTATTAGAGAAGTGGATATAGGTAACCTCAGTTCATAAGATTTGTAATACATACGATAGGTAAATATTATCACCACCCAAAAAATCATCATCAATTGAAGAAACGCCCGAGATAGGAAAGAAGATAGAGGTAGATTCAATTTTTAATTCATCATTAATTGAAATCCAAAAAAAAAAAAGATATCCTACTTATAGAAATAGCATCTGGAAGAAATAAGGTAACTAATTGTTTAGCTGCATCAAATTCTCTTGGGCCTGAAAAACTCTCCTCTTACAGAATTGCATAGAAGGCCATTGTTAAGAAGTACGGTGTCCCTGTGGAGGTGGTGGTGGTGTACACCATTCTAAGCATCTTTAAAGATAAAGAAGAGAAAAATGTGCAGCAACACAAATCCTTACTAGTAAATGGAGCGGGAAACAAAGGTGTTGCAACTAAGAGGATGCTCACAAACTAATGAAAGATTGAAATTGAATGAAAAAATAGAATTGGGAATGGTGATATAGGGATTGCAGAGATATCAAGAATGCAAACACTGAACATATAAGTAGTGTGAAAATAAGTTAAGCCGAGTGAGGGCATGATCATTTTGACTGTGAGCAGAGCGGCTGTACGAGAAAGTGATGATTCGTACGACGAATTGTACGTTGTGAACACGATGGATAAAGCACGGGCTTTAGAATGGCCATGAACGGGTTCTAAAAGAACAAAGTGATAGGAAATAGTCGTAGAAATAGAAAATGATTGCTGAAATCAGAATTATCTGATCAATATCCACAATAACATCCTAATTATTGCACCACCAACCCAGAATTACCTGCAATGCTTTACGGTCATGAATGGTTCATACGACGAATTGACTGATCAATATCCACAAGAACATCCTAATTATTGCATTAAAATCCCTAGACTAACAGACGTCCTACATCATGAAGACTACAAAATCTAACAAGTAGCCCTATTAACACAGTATGTTAGCCGTTAGATGAGATCGCACTCCTTGGTCCAACATTTTTCAAACTTAAAAACGAACAAACACTAGAAATTTTTATTTGCATAAGGAAAATGGTCAACAACAACAACAACAACACAAGCCTTTGTCCCACTACGTGGGGTCGGCTACATGAATCCTTTTTCGCCATTGTGTCATGTTAAAAGTCAAATTCTAATTTAAATCTAATAAAAAAAGATCATTTCTAATATTTTCTAACTAAGTCTTTTTAGGTCTACCTCTACCTTTCTTAACATAAGTCAAATCTAATATCTCAACTTTCCTAACCAGGTCATCGAAAGGCCTCCATTTAATGTGACCAAACTATCTAAGGCGACTCTCTCTAATCTTATCTTGCACTGGAGCTACTCCAACCTTTTCACGTATATGCTCATTTTGTATCCTATCTCTAAGCGTAAAGTCACTCATCCACGTAAGCATCCTCATCTCTGCAACACTTAACTTAGTATTATGCTTCTCTTTTAATGGCCAGCATTCGGCACCATAAAGCATTGCAGATTTCACCACCATCTTATAAAATTTTCCCATAAGTTTGAAGGGGGCTTTTCTATCGCACAGCAAGCCCAATGCACTCCTCCACTTTAACCATCCAACTTGAATTCTACTGATAATATCTCCATCAATTTCAGCATCACTCTGAACAACAGATTCAAGATATCTAAAACGTATACTCTTATTAATGACTTGATCACCCAAAGCCAAAATCCCCTCACTAGGTCTATTGCTACTAAAATTAAAAATCAAGCATTAATAAAGCCATCCAGAACCTCTAAAATGAACCTAATTTATTTATAAATTTGACAAAAAAAAGTAAATTAATTAATCATCCTCAACATCAACAAGTGGAAAGAAATACAAATAATACAAAAAATGATAACACAGCAAAGTAAAGAAGCTCAGTGTACTATCATGAATCGCATGTGTGTTACCTTAGCTCTCAAGGTCTCAACATCTGCTTTAAGGATTCTATTGTCCACAGCAGCCTCATTGTACTTCTGGTTTACATCAGTGAGACGCTTCATCAACGTTGAGTTTTCAACTCTTAATTGTGAAACCTATACAGTATGAGTCACTTTAAGTTAATGTAGAATAATAATTCATAGAAGATAAAGAACAATCACAAAATTCAAAATCTATAAAAAATTATTAGATCAAACCTGTGTCTCAAGCTCACTTAAATGCGCTTGTTTTCTTCTTCTAGAGCGCCTGGCAGACTCCCGATTTGAAAGCATCCTGATAATAAGTTAAAAAATCAATGCCAAACAGCAAGACAGACAGATCTGTTAGCTAACTACGGTTATTCGTTCCATAAATGCTAATATGGAAGCGGATGCAAACAATAATGCAGATATGCAGCAAAAAATAGAAATTTAACACAGGTGCCACAACAAGCTTTGGAGAGCTAACATTCACACAAAATTTATTTTTTATTTCCAGCCTAAAGCAAATAGCTATATTTACCGAGTAGAATTTAGAGAATTGTGGTATCCTTCTTTTAGTATTGAACATGTGAGATTACATAGCTATCATTGACAAAGATAAATTTTATCATTTCTTCGTACCTCAAAAATGAAAATGTATATGTTCTCATCAAATATGCAGAGTTGCAAAGGTTTTATTTGTACACATTAAAAATTTGAGCTAAAATCTGGATCTCGGGGTCAAACTATAGAACGTAAATGCCATATGTACCTCCTAAAACGCTTTGCATCAGAAGGGTCCATATTTTCAGCTGTCTCTGCTTCCCCATCAAACTCATCATCATCAGACTGCTCTCTTGAAGATCCACTAGTTCCCGTTCTAGCCTGAGAAAAACCTGAATTCTGCTTAAGGGGCATGGCTGGAACTACTACTGTCCCAATACCTGCATAAATAACTTAGTAACAAACCCTACTAAAACAGATGCAAAAGCAATAAAGAGCATCTGCCATCTGAATGTATCACGAAAAATGGTAACAGCATTATAGATCAGATGAAGCAACTGTAAGATAACTAAACTATTGAAAAAAATAATAATAATTCATTTCAGTCAAAAACATCGCATCTGCTTCTTTACCTGAAATTAGATCCTGAGCCAGCATTAGATTTCCACGAACCACTCCCCCTCCACCCAACCCCCCTCTTGCCCCAAAAAACCCTATGTACATCCCATTCTCTGCTTGATCTCACATATCTCAGCACCTCCGCTCACTCGGTGCCCTCGAGACCTAAGTCACACTCTCTTCCTTTCACTCAATACCACTTTTGCTCACACTGAGCTCTCTCTCATGTGTTCCCTTACTCCCTTGCAACTCCAATGCCCAACGCCTCTCCCACTCACTCCCTGCACCTCAACTCCTAGAGATGTGCCTCCCACATGCAAATATTTCCAGCTCTAGCATGCTGCATGCCACTACCAGCGACCCTTCTATGTCACACTGACAACATATGTTTCTTTCCTAAAGCCTAGCCTTTGGTCTGCCTAGTGATTCAACTCCATGTTCTTTTCTCTGGCAATGCCAAACATGCAATCAGACTCCTTTTTTATGAGGACATCCGACCTTGGAGAGTCTACCAAAAATGGGGCCCACGATTTACGGCCACAATCACACCAATTAATTTTTGAGTCATTATATGTATTTGACTTATTTATGCATTTTTTTCCGTTTGTACCCTCACTTGAGGGAATAGTCATATGTAAGCCCTAAGGGCATGTTGGTCTTTTTATTTTTTCTTCATTGTATGAGGCTATTTAAAAGCCACATTCTCTTCTTTTGAGGTTAATGATGATTATGATGATATTTCCTACACTTGTGTTCTTTGTCAGTCGTGAAAGTTCTTGAGAGAGCTTGCTTGAAGTCCCTAGATGAGGGCGGCATAGTACCCACCAACCGCAGGAAGCATCCAGGTTCGTGGTCATCCTCTTTCTGTTAATCCCTCCCCTCCTCCCTCAAAACCATCGACCAATCCCCCCCTTTCTCCCTCTTTCTGCCGAACCCCACCACCCCCCACAAATCTGGTCGACCACCCCCCCCTCTCCTTCTACCTTAAGCCACTGGCCACAAAGGCCTAGCCCTATCCATAGCCGACGGCCCATACATCAAACCCTAAACCCTAACCCTACTCCTCACCTAGCCACCGACCACATCCCTTTCCTCTTGGCAACAATTTGAATTCACATTCAAATAAATTTGAATTTGAATTTGTTTCCTAAAATAAGAATCTCTAATTTAGGAAAGCCCTAGAATTATGCCGATTTGAATTTTAAATTGGATTGGAATTAAATTAATCCTTCCTAATTTAAAATTCTAAATCAAGTAAGCCTTGATTTCCCTCCCACAAGCCCCAATCCCCTATTAAGCCGCCGGCCCCTCCCTCGCTTTCTCTATTCCACATTTAAATCCTTCCCTTTTTGGAGCCCTAATTAATACCCTCATCAAAGGAGCACTATCCCTTTCCCTCCTCAAATTTGAAATTCAAATTTTAAAACCCCAAAATTCCTCCTAATCAAATCTGAAATTTCTTTTCAGATTTTGGGAACTACCCCTCCCCTTCTCCATTACCCGCTGGCCCCTCTCTCTCTCTCTCCTCCCTTCCTCTTTGATCTTGTAAGATAATTTCCTCCCAATTACTCCTCCTTTGGATTAATTTCAGATTTTCAATTTTCTAAAATTAATTTCAGATTCACCAAACGACATCCTCCCTACCACACTTTTCCAAAATCTGAAGCCTCATGTTCAACTTTCCTTCTCCATTGTATGGCGGATCCCGAACAACATCACGGGTTTGTTTATGAAAATCATTGTCATGTTGATATCCTCAACTCACCGTTCTTCAGCTTCAACCTGGAGATTGACCAAACCGTAGAGGAATACGTAGAGAGGATCGTCTTCACCCTCGCCGAAGTCATTGACGACCAACTCTCCTCCGTGTTGTGGCAATTTATTTCCAAACCTTGATCAAGGTGAACCTCTCCTACCAAATCTTTTTTCCTTCCTAAGTTTACCCTAATTATGGCCTCATAAAGATCATGAAAACCTCCTCCGCAAGCCAAATTTATTAAGAGTTGAGTGAAAATTTTCTTTCATAGTGACTAATCTCAATGTTAATTGTGGGATTATATTTGAAAACTTCCATGTATTGCAAAGCGTGATGTAAGAGATTATTTTGTACTCCTAAAAGATTACCTTGTGATTTGGCCTAAGCTACATCACCTCCCTTATTGCTTTTGATATTTATTTAAGCCGCTGAAGTAAACTAATTATTGTTGTTCTAACCTAAGGCGTTTATTTTCATCATCGTATAATTCACTCGCATTTTAATTATAAATCATTATTCCAAGAAAATCACAACTTTCAAAAACTTCGAGTTCTACAACCACTATCACTCAACCTTGCCACCTAACCTTAGCACTTGGATACATTGGCTCAGCAACCATGAGTTATTCGGCTTATTCACCTGATCTCACACTAGGTGACACCTTTACACAAAAATGCAATAATAAAAAAGTTTAAAGAACACTTGATACTATATTTGGTTAGATTGAAGGACCGTCCATGTATGATCTGGTTCATATGAAGACCACCAATCATTGATTTTTTATCCAACTAGGGCTGAAGACCATCATCCATGTCATTGATCTTCGATCCGACTATAGTTTGACAACCTCTGCGTCGTTGCTCTTTGAACTAGCTAGAGTTGTCTTTCTTTTTTTATTTTTGATTTGGATCCAATGAGTGATATAATTCTGTTTGGTGGCTGCATATGACTGAAAAGCCAATGGTGGTTATAAAATACTAACAGATAATGAATATAGTGGTCGTTTCACGAATCAAGTGTCATTGACATGTTTTATACTTTTATCCGGTCATCGGAAGAGGGATAACTTTCCTTATTTCATCTGAATCACGAGCAAATTAAAAACCAGAGATGTGCGCAAATAAGTTAAGAAGAAAAAAGTTGTGTGGGGGCACGGCCATAGCTTATGGAATTTTTTTTTCTTTTCAATTGTCTAATTAGCATGTAAAAAATTCATAATTAAGTCAAATAATATACATTGATGAGGAACATCATTGGAGTACCTTTGTCATGTCCTTAAGAAAATTGCAAACAAAATAATTTCAAAGGATGTGACCCATGTCCTTTGCTAATAAATGAGTTAACATCAATCTCAAAAGCACTTCTTTGACGCCCCCACATTTCTAACCGAGTTTGCTTGGGATATCAAAATGGAGGCAAATCATAGTTATTAATCAAGCTCCTCGGATGATACAGCTCATAGTCTGCGAAACATTCTCACCAAGCCCTTATTGTTATTACGGCGGTCGAAGTTAATTTGTCATCCTTGATAAAGTAGGATGATGAATGGATGGTTGATTTGAGCACAGAGTGAATATAAATATATGTATGTAGTAAAAAGATTGGACGGTCACTCAAAATAGTTGGGGACCATTTGGACATCTCCCAAGGAGTTAAGGGGTCATTTTGATATTTTTCTCTTTTTTTTTTTTTTTTTGACTAACAACTATTAAGTCGTTTCATTTTTATTTAAAATGTATTCAAATTTATTAAGTACTTAAGGAATTACTTCAGTTTAATATGCTCCTCGACTATTTAGTGGATTCGAGGGAAATCTTGTAATTGCCAAGATTACTCTTGGGCTTCGGAGAAACTTCCTTACAAGATGCCTCACATAGTTGGTTGACATTAATACTCAAATGTTACAGAGAAGAACAAAGGACCAACAAAAGTTTTTTACGTCCAAAAGTTGTATATTTTAAAACAATCACTAAACAACTCGTATCATATTGCAGATACCAGAAAACGTGTACTGTTGCTAGCGTACCTTTAACTAGAGCTTCAGATCCCACTGGTAAAGAATCTGACAAGTGTGGCATGTTGTCAGCTAAAGAAGAATCCTGCAGCATTATGCCAGAACCCTGTAAAAAGAACCGAAGTTATAGCACAGCCCACATTCGACACCCGCAAAGTAGCACAGTAACCAAAGGCAAAAACAGTGAACAAGAAATGTCATGAAAGAAGATAAGAAAAAAAATCAAGGGGAAGGAGCATTTACGGTTACAAAGTAGAACTATATAAAATTGTTGGAAAATCTGAAAATCTACACCTTGCATGCATTGTATTAGTTCAAATTAGATCCGTATTTTCTTTCCAAAATCCACCTAAGTCCAAAATTTTCAAGTAAATTTCGACAGCATCCTAACGTCCCCTCCCCACGAAGGGAGGTAAGTGGAGGGCACTTGCCATTTTGGTTGATTCAGTCGGTTCAAACCAACGGCGAGGACTTTGGGGGAACGATTGACCCCAGTATAGGTCTTCCAGTCTTCCATTGCGTGCGACCTGTTAATTAAGTGATTTAATTTCATTTTAAAAGATAGTTTTTATTCCCCTTGAAAATCTGGCAACCTTCCGACGTCCCCTCCCTGAGAGGGGAGGTTGGAGAGGTCACTTAACCTTTCCAGCCCGCCCAGCTGGAAAGATAATTGACGGTTGAGGGATTCGGGACGTTGTCGGGTCCTGGAATCGGTCTTCGAGCCTTTGATTGTGCGTGACCTGTTAATTTTAATTCAAAACAAAGATTTTTGTTCTCTTTAAAAATCGAGCAACCTTCCGGTGCCCCAACCCCGCGAAGGGAGATTGGGGAGGGCACTTGCCCTTTTCAGTCCGCCCAGCAGGAAAGATAATCAACTTGGAGTCAGGCCGGAGGAGGTCAGGTCAGCTTTGGTTGTAATAGACGGAGGCGACTCAGCCAATTGGGTCGGTGAAGAGGCGGTGGTCTGGTTCGACGGCTAAGGTCCGTGCAAAAGAGACCAGGAGATCGAGGGGGATCACAGTAAGTCATGAAGCGTTCTTCTATTACCTTTTGAGAGAGCATAAGAGTGCCAATGGTTGATGGGTTTGATCATTTTGTGTTGTGAGTGAGAACGTGGGGAGCAGTTGTCGTGTGGTCATGGGCCCGGGTGGGTCTTGGGGGTCGATCGGTAGTTAGGGGTCGGTCAGTAGTTATAGGTCAACAGGTGCTCTACCTTTGCTCATATCTATCCACAAGATAGAAGCAAGCTTGGCACAAGATCAAAAAAATGCGTCTTTATTGGATATTCCCCGACAAAAAGAGGTTACAAATACTTTTGCCCTATTTCTAGAAAAGTATTTGAAACCATGGATGTCACCTTCTTTGAAAACAACACATGCTTCACTAGTTTTGAAATACAAGGTGAGAGTGAAGGAGAATTTCAACTTGGGAATGGAATTCATTATTATACAACCAAACAGAGTCCGGTCAAAATCACCAAATATCATAAGAAATTCAAATCACGAGTATTTCCTAAGGTATATCTCTTAAGTCTCAAAATCCACCTTCAGACATATTACCTCCACTCATAAGTCATAATCAATCCCTGCAAAGAGCAACAATTAAGAAACAACAATATTTATACAAGAAAAAGGAAAAAAAATCAGCATATGCCAAGCAGTGAGACACATCTTGCACCTTTCAACTCTCTTCAATGGATCCAACAATTGTAGAAATTCACTCAGAGGAGAAAAATAAGAAAGTTCAAAAAGAGATAGAGTCATCAAATGGCAAGAAAGAATCATGCATCAAGCATCCAATCGAAAACATTCTCTCCTATAATAGATTATCATACACTTATCAAGTCTTCCTTTCCAAGTTGGATAATGTGTAGATTCCGACCAATATTTAAGAAGTTTTGAATCACCCGGGATGAAGACGGGTTGTTAAAGAAGAAATTATGGCCTTGGAAAAAAATCAAACATAGCTGATTATGAATCTACCACCAGGAAAGAAAGTTGTGACTTACAAATGGGTGTTCACTATAAAGCATAAGGTGGATGATAGTATTGAAAGGCTAAAAGATAGACTAGTTGCAAGACGATTCACTCAATCTTATGGAATAGACTATCAGAAAACTTTTGCTCCTATTGCAAAACTCAACACCCACATGATTCTTCTTTTCTTAGTAGCAAATTTAAATTGGCCCCTACATCAATTAGATATCAAGAATGCATTCTTGAATGGGAACCTGAAAGAAGAAGTCTGCATGGAGATTCCAATGGGGATTCATAAGTCTTATGGAAGGGACAAAATGTGTAAACTGCTGAAATCCTTATATGGATTAAAGCAATCTCCTAGAGTATGGTTTGGAAGATTCTCAAAGTACGTAAAAGGCCATGATTTTAGACAATGTTAGACATATCATATCTTGTTTGAGAAGCAGTAAAAAAGAGACAAGGTAGCTGTATTGATTGTATATGTGGATGGCATCATCCTTACTGGAAATGATATAGAGGAAATAATGAAGATCAAACAGGCTTTGTCCAAGGAGTTTTGAGGTTAAAGATATAGAATCACTTAGATACTTTCTTGGTATGGAGGTAGCTCGATCAAGCAAAGATATATTTATTTCCCAACCCAAGTATACCTTAGAACTACTATAAGAGACCGACATGCAGGGATGCAAACCAGCCAGCACACGTATGGATCCTACGAAAAACTTGGGATAGAAAAGAAGGGAGTTCCAATACATAAAGGAAGATATCAACGTCTGATAGGAAAACTTATATAACTCTCCCAAACCTGTCCAGATATTGGGTTTGTTGTGAACACGATAAGTCAATATATGAGTAATCCTATGCAGGAGCACATAGAGGTAGTATATCAAATCTTGAGATATCTCAAGAATACTCCTAAAAAGGGATTATTATTCAAGAAAATTGAAGATAGAAAATTGATTCTTTATTTTGATGCAGATTGGCATGAAGCCAGGTTGACAGTCGATTGACCACATGATATTGTTCATTTGTGTGGGGGAAATTAACAACATGGAGGAGCAAGAAATAATATGTTGTTTCCAAAAGCAGTGTGAAATCTGAACTGAGAGCATTAGCAGTTACTATTTATGAAAGTATTTGGATCAGACAAGTATTGATTGAAGGCACGATAAAGTTGAAATGTGACAATAAAGCCGCAATCAATATGGCTAAAAATCCATTACATCACGACAAAATAAAACATGTTACTGTTGATAGACACTTTATATCTGAGAAAATTGAGAACTCAGAAATTGTAGTATCTACCCAACTCATGAACAACTTGTCGATGTTCTAACAAAGGTACTACCAGGCTCTCTACTAGATAAGTTTGTTTGCAAGTTAGAATTGTGCAACCTTTATAACCCAAGTTTAGGGGGAGTGTTGAATCACACAACCAAGGGGGGCCCAGTCAACAATCTATGGGCAACAATCAGTGAGCTGCAGTTTAAGATCCATGGGATGTTGAATCACGCAGCCAAAGGAGGGTCACGTCAAACATCCATGGGCTATTCATGGGCTGCAGTTGGAGATCTGTGGGATATGATTATTATAATTAATTAGATTAAATGTCTTTCCTCTTTTGTTTAATATAATTAATTAAATTAAATGTCTTTCCTTTTTTGTCTATTCTTTTAGAATGCATATATATGTAATGATTCCAAGAAATATATTAGAATTTGAATTTCCCTTTAAACAAATTCTTCACTTTAGCTTTTTATTTAATATCTTATATATTTAATTAATATATTTTCGTCTTATGATAATGATCCTCATCATGAATGAGTTGTGTTCTCTATTGTATATATTGGATTGATTTGATCCAACTCCTTGTGTTTGTATGAGTTGTTTCAACCTCGATTTTTTTAGTTTCAACCTCGATTTTTTGAGTTGTTATGATAATGATCCTCATCATGAATGAGTTGCGTTCTCTATATATTGGATTGATTTGATCCAACTCCTTGTGTTTGTTTGAGTTGTTTCAACCTCGATTTTTTTAGTTTCTGTTAAATTTAGAAAATTGGAGCGGGAAAAGACTTTAATTTTATTATACAAAATAATCCCTATTTATATATCTATACAAGATTTCATAAAGAAGAAACAAATAACTACAGAAACATGCATAATTATCATAATATAATTTTTACATCCGGAATACTTGTAGCAGTAGATAAATATATAGTTTAACATCTTAGCTTTGTACGAAAATCCAGCACACAAACATATAAGAGAGAGATTGTGCAATATTCATAAGAGACCAAGATTTTTACGTGGAAAACTTTAAAAAGGGGAAAAACCACGGGGCATAGCCCAGTTTGAATGAATCAACTAGTATTTGCAGTCGATTACAAAAGAGACCCTTCATTGGAGGGAAGGCATTGGCTTGATGTAACAAATATGCATCATATAGAGTTGGTTACATGGTGAAAATAAGAAGAATCATTGTTGCGTGTTCGTTTGGTCGAAAGGAACATGGTCGGTGGGCGATGGAGGTCGAAAAGAACATTGTCTGGCGATGGAGGTCAGAAGGATCGCAGTCGGCGGGCGACATAGGTCAAAAGTACTGTTGTCTGGTGATGGAGGTCGGAAGGACTGTTGTTTGGCAACTGAGGTCGGAAGGACCGTAGTGGGTGGGTGACGGAGGTCGGAAAGACTGTTGTCTGGTGACGGAGGTCAGAAGGACCGTAGTCGGCGGGCGACGAAGGTCGGAAGGATCGTAGTCGGCGGACGATGAAAGTCATGAAGGTTGTTGTCTGGTGACGGAGGTCGGAAGGACTGCAGTCGACGGGCAATAAAGGTCAAAAGGAACGTTGTCTGACGACTGAGGTCAAAATGACCGTAACCAGTAGGCGAAAGTCCGTCGTAGGGTAGAAATTCGATGACTGGCAGAAGTTCGGCATAGGGTAGAAGTTCGACGAAAGTTCGGTGATGGGTAGAAGTCCGGCGTCGGGTGGAAGTTCGGCGTCATGTAGAAGTTCGTTGAAAGTTTGGTGACGGGCAGAAGAACAGCGATGGGCAGAAGCTCGGCATTGGGTAGAATTCGGACAAAAGTCAAAAGTCCGGCTACAGGCAAAAGTCTAGCGTCAGG